AGCGGGGGTCGGGCGCCGAGCGCGGCGGGCGCGGGACGAGCGGCGGCGGCGGCAGCGGCGGCGGCGACGGCGGAGCCCGAGCTCGCGGGAGCTGGCCGGGGGCTCCGGCACGAGGACACGGGAAAAGTTGGCACTTACGCGGCTGGTTGTCCGGCGGCGGCGGCGGCGGCTGCAGCGCGGGCGGCGGCGGCGGCGGGAGCTGGGGGCGCTCGGAATCCCGACCAGAGGCGCTCGGGCTGCAGATCCCATCAAGGCAGCAGCGGCAGCGGCAGCGGCTGGCGGGGGGCGGCGGCGGCGGCGGCGGAGGCGGACGAGGCAGAGGCGGCGGCGGCGGCGGCAGCGGCGGCAGGGGAGCGCGCTCGGCAGAGCCCGGGGCGGGAGGCAGCCTCAGCCTGGGAGCCCGAGCCGCCGCCGCCGCTGCCGCCGAGCAGCATGGTCGGTGGGGAGTTGGCAGCCCCCCGAGCGGGCAGGGGCCGCCGACGAGGAGCGGCGGCGGCTCTAGGCGGTAATTGGGATGCAAAGCAGGCGGCGGCGGCGGCGGCTGCCGGGAGGAGGAGGAGGCGGCGGCGGCGGTGGCGGTGGCGGCGGTGGCTGCAGCGGTCGGAGGGGACGCGCTGGAAGTGGGAGCTGATGAGTGAAAAGAAAAAAAAGTCTTTGGATCTTTATTCTGCTAATTAGTTTCCTGCAAAAAATGGCTGTGATTAATTCAGTGCGCATGTGCTTCATTACCCAGGCACGACGGGAAGGGCTAATTAGCCACCTTCTGGATCAATAAGATTCAGCAAAAAAGAAAAGGGGGAGGTGGAGGGAGGCAGAGGGGAGGAAGGGAAAAAAAAAAAAAAAAACCAGGGGAAAGTGATGAGCAGGGCAAGGAGAGCAGGAAGAGAGGATGGGAGAAGAGACCAGGAAGAGGGAGAGAGGCACCAAAAGTTTATGCATGTATTAAAAACACACACACACACACACACACACACACACACACACACACGACTGAGATGCAGAGAAGCAACAATGGGAGCCAGCCTGGGATTTTTTATAACAAGATTTTTTTTGTTTTTTTTTTCTTTTCCCCTTTTCTTTCTTTTTTTCTCTTTTCTTTTTTTTTCTTTCTTTTCCCTTCCTTTTCTTTCCCTCTTCCCCTCCCCCCCAATGCAGCTGCGGGTGTTTAAATAGGAAGAAAGTAACAGAAGGCAAGAGTGAAGGGGGGGGCAGTTAAATGCCTAGGTTTAAATGAAAGCATAGAGAAGTATCAGAAACATTGATGGAAACACTTTAAATTGCAAATCTCGGAGATTTTCTCTAAGGAAAGTGTGAGGAAACCTTCTCTCCCTCCCCTCCCCCCCCCCAATGAAGAGGATGTATTTTTTCTTAATGGAGCAACTTTAACATATTCCATAGATTGGACAAAAAAAAAAAAAAAATAAGGTGTTAAGCTTGCCTTCAGAAATAAGATGAAATTTAGCTCTTTGGAAAGAGAGGGAGGGGGTTAGTGATGATTAGAAGAAACAAAAAGAGAGAAGTGAATAAGAACTAAATGGAGTTAGTGGGGCAAAGGGGTGAGTAAAGAGGGAGGAAGTAGAAAAAAGGGGGGAGAAGAAGGAAAAGTTGCAGTTGGAAACAAGCACAACTTTTTTTTTTTTTTAACCTTTCTGGACTTAGGAGAAAAGTAAAATCAATTTTCGCGTGTAAAGCCTGGAAAGCAGATGTTTTCAGAGCACAGAGCTATTTTGCCATCAAAAGCAGGGATGTAGTGAAGGCAGTGAAAAATGATTTTAGACTAAATTTTTAAGAAAGGAAAGCCAATGTGTTTAAGTAGTGAGGAAAGGTCTGTAGTGTAGAAAGGGAGGGGGGGTATAACATCCACCTCCTCTAATCTCTTCCCCTCCCTCATCCCACCCCACCCCACAAAAAAAAAAAAAATCTTACAGCTACCTCCAAGAGTTTGGAGCAGTCTGGAAGCCAAAGGGCTTGAAATGAAGGGATAGATTTCAGATAAAGACTAGGAGCTGCACATCCCAACAGAGCCCAAAGGAGATCTCTGAAATCAAAGGCAGCAGCCAGGGATACTGCTACTGTACCTGCTCCCAGCACATCAAAGCCATCACTTAGGCTGGCGTACAGTACCTCCAAAAAGCAAGCAAACAAATGAAGAACAAGAAACTCCTTTCTCTCTCTCTCTCTTTCTCTCTCTCTCTCTCTCTCTCTCTCTCTCTCTCTCTCTCTCTCTCGCTCTCTCTCTCTCTTTCTCTCTCTCTCCCTCTCCCTCTCCCTCTCTCTCTTCCCTCTCTCTCTCTTTCCCTCTCTCTCTCTCTCTCTCTCTCTCTCTAGTCTCAGCGTCACTGCTGCTGCAATAGATTTTTAATGACAAGTATGTATTTATGTAAGTCCTAAATATGAATTAGTAACATTGAGATTACAATGTCCGGAATAAAATAAAATGCAATTTACACTTTAAGTGGACTGAAAACAAACGTAAAAACAAAATTTGTGCTATTAAAGGCTTTATTAGTAAACCATGTAACATTGTTTAGGGAAAGAAAGCTTTACAGCTAACTTTTTCTTGGTATTTTTTTTTTTGCCATAGTCTAGTTTTATTGCCAAATTATTTTATAATGAATTGGAGGATTAATAGTGAAACCTGTTTGATTAGAATCTGATGTTTAATTTTATGAGATTTCCTAGTGATCTTAAGAGCTTGAAGCCTCTCATTAAAGCCCAGAGGGGGGAAAAGGTATAGGAGTTTTCAGGGTTACCTCATCTAGCCCTTCTGAACTCACTCTGGGAATAATGCTGTTTTTATTTAGGAAAAAAAAAATATGTTTAGAAAAATTGAGGGTTTCCTCTCTATGAGCCAAATCTGAGTTGCCATTCAGACTTTCCTAGCTGCTTTTCCATGCGGGACAGCTGATCAATAAAGCCAAGTCCAGCCTGTCTTGCTACAGGTTTCACCAGTCATTGCTTGCAAAACCTTTGTCATTTTCTAAAAATAAAAAAGCTAAAAGTTATTGTAGAAGAAGGGGCTTTTTTTGTCCCCCTTACAATGTGCCTTTTGTGAGGTTAATGCCATTCTGGGACTTTCTATAGCCCTGGACAATGGGGATCTCCAGGAGGCTGCCAAGCCTCTGCCTTTTTTCTTTTCTTGGCTTTTTTTTTTTTTTTAAGGGAAGGATGAAACATTCCTCCAGTCCAAACACAACCTCTACTTTGATTAAATAAATATTTATCTTTATTGTAACCATTGTATATTTTACCGTTAGTTTATACCCGGTTTCTGATTATTATTTAAATTTTTCATTTGCAGCAGCTAATCGTTTTTTTCTTTCAGCCCAAAGTGCAGGTCAGTGTAAAATGTAGCTGAATGAAGGAAGCCTGGTGTGTCTGAATTTTTTCATAATATATCAGGTAAGGAAAACTGTTCAGAACCTCAGGAGTATGTATATTACATATATTTTTTCATATTTATCTGCCTTCAGGAACCTTCATCAATCTGTTAGTTTTGCTTTATTTTTTAAGGATGTAGCAAAATTAAATCTCTGTTTTTAGGGTTAGAAAATCTCTTAAATAGCATTTATTTATTTTCGATTTGAAATATAAATAGTATCTACCAGGAAAGCAATGCTAACTAGGACTGAACTTGCATTTTATTTTCTTATACAAAAGGAACCAGAGAAAGCTAATGTCTCCATTGGTGTTGGTTATTTTGAGAAATCTGGACATAAATGTATGTCATGTTGCAATATAGGAAAATGCCAGCTTAATCTGGTAAATACTTATGCTAATTTTACAGAGCGAATTTGTTATATTGAGGAGAGGTACCAAGCTTGTATGATTGAATAATGCTTAGGTGATTATACAGCATGTGTAAAGATTAATTTACTTTTAAAAATGAAAAAAACCAAGGAATTCAGAATTTAAATCTTGCATTTATCTGGCAAGTAGGAAAGATATTTTAGACAAATCAGTTTTTTAAATGTTCACAGAATGTAGGAAATGTTGTATGTATGCTAAATATTGCATTCATTTGTATGTTTCTCAACCTATTTCTCGAATGAATGTATAGACATAAGTATGAAGAGGGATACACACACACAGAAAAGAAAATGTATAAATATACCTATGTATGTTTGTAGATGGATATATAAGCAGTATGTGTGTATACATAAATGCAAACATCTACCCGTAAAAGGTATGTATAAATAAAGGTATGGTACCTGCTTATATGTAACATCCATGTGTGACTATTTGTATTTATAGATATGTTTGTAGCTTCCATTCCTTGAAAGTACAAAATAGAAATGTTTGGTTTAATAATGAAGATTCGAATAATGGCTGATACTGAATAATGATCTGCTCCCCTGTAATCTTCAGGGTATGGACTGAAATAGGGAGATGGGGGATCATTGGGTCCAAAGGCTGAAGATACAGTGGGTCAATCTGAAAAGGGGAGAAGAAAAGGAAGGGGAAGGTCGAGGGGAAGATAGATCCTACCTCTGGGGCCCTGAGCTTTCTTCCGCAGGGGGCAGAAAAAACACACACACATGTGGAAGCAGGAAGGGGTGGAAAGTCCCTGTTCTATACAACTAGATAGACATAGTTAGATCTCAGAATGGTTACATATAGAACAATACCTTGTACCTTTTTGAATTTGCATTGTTATCCTAAATCTATTGTATGTGTGTATGTGTGGCTGTTCATTTCCCAAAGACAACATATGGATTCCATAAATGCAAACATGCCGAAGTGCATCTGTCTGGGTAGTTAACACAAACCAAACATCCCTCATTTCGGCAACTCCCTGTTATTCCTCTGGCTCTAGGAGCTCTGCCGTCCAGTGTCACTCGCTCATTGCTCTCCCATTCTTGTCCTTTTGTGGGCTCTTAAAGTGATCCAAAGAGCCGAGGCGTGGAGGGGGGCTGGTTGCACGGCTAGGGTTAGAGGCACCACTGCTCTTGCCCTTTGCTGCGAGGAGTCTAAAGGGTTAAGCTGCAAAGCAAGAGGAAGGGGCAGCACTCTTCCCAGAGCTAGGTCCAGCCGCAGGCAGCTCTGATTTAGGGGTCAAGTCCTTCGACACCTTTCTCCTGCTTCTGGAAATGGCAGATGATGAGGTAGAGAAACATAGGAGACAGAGAGACAGAGAGAAATACATTCAGGCTAGGCAGTTGCGATCCGTCTGCCCCCTTCGCCCCCAGAATAGAGAAGTAACATCCGAACAAATCGAACAGTTCCCCTTTCCCATCGGGGTGCAGCCAGTCAGAGCGCTGAAAAAAAATGTTAACTTGGTACCTCTGTCCTACAGTTATTTATACTGACCTGGCATGCAGAAAATCAACAAGGAATTTGCTCCAAACATGCCAGATCGTATAGATCTGTAGCTGTGTCTATGTATTTACGCATAAAGAAAACAGGTGTGTGTGTGTATGTATTCGATAAAGTTAGGGAAGTGTGTGTATGCATGGAGATGCTTATACATAGATCTGAAACTCAGGCAGAGCGCCTGTGCTCTTGGGTTGAATGTACATAGGAGTATAGAATGCGTTTCGCTCTCATTTTGTTTGTATCTTGTCAATACACTTTCTGATAAAGAGCTTTACCCCAAACTCGATAGCCTGAAGAAGACTTTATCAAGGTACTTTCACAACCCGGACTAATGAAAAGCAAATAGGTATTTGTTTCTCAGGCATTTGACTGGAAAGGGCAATCTGCTATGCATCCATCCTGCCCCTGGGGTTCTGCAGGACACAGTAGGGTGGGTGGGTGTCCGGTACGTGTTGGATGTATGAGCGCACCCAGATGCAACTATTTACATGCTGCAGGGCAATATGTGGAGTTGAATTCAGAGCGACATTCACAAACACACACTGAAGGACTGAACATTTAGCACAGTATCTCCTTTGGAAAGTTGCTTAAAGAAAAAGGAGTTTTCTGGAGAAAGCTGGCTCGAAATAACCGAACTCCCGAGAGAGGGGCGACTGCAGACAGAACCCTGGGGAAAGGAGGCGGAGCTGGGAGGGAGAAAGAAGGAAGATGGACTGGGGGAGCTACCCGATATCCTAGGTTGTAATTCCCGGGTTGGGGGCGGGGGTGGGAGGGGGGGAGTGGATGTTCCATGGGAGTGTAGTTTTCCTTGTTCTTCAGTTGTTTAGGGTGAGGGAGATTCCCACTGATGACAGTTTCTGACGCTGGGTCAGAAAGAAACTGATCAGCTGGCCCTCAAGAAAGCAGAACACAATTCTAGGAGAGCCACTCCTAACCCAGGGAGAGACTCCAAACCACTGAAATCAAACCAAGTCGGCCACTTGAATCCCCGGAGGTTCCATCCCTGGGGCAAAGGGGGAGGGGACAAGCCCCCCCCACTTCTTTTTTTTAGCTACTTCAAAAGAGACCACAACCTACTACATCGGGTCACTCCATTACATAGATTAAAGAGATATGTGTGTGTATATCTATATATAGGTATAGATATAGATACATATCCCAATTCTTAGAAGCAAAAAACTCCAAAGAATTGACACAAAACTTGGCTCGCCAAAGTCCTTGAAATAGTTCCAAGTGATCGTCATCCATTCATTTTTAATACAGTGCATATTGTGAAAATATGGGTCAAAATAGTCAATTCCACGGCATTTGTCAGATTCTCAGTTTCCTCCTCTTTTGCAATGGAAATTTGCAATGAAACCTTGGGAGCCGGAGCAGGTGAGAGGCTGTAGTGTACCCCAGTGTTTATTACCCTCACGATCAGTAAGCCCTTAGCTGTTATTTTCGATATAGTAACTTTTCTGTTTGCACCAAATCTGAAACCAGAGGCAAAGGAAGTAAAGGGAGAAATAACATCTCTCTCGAATGAAGTTAACAACTGGAGCACAGTAGATTCGTAGCTTAGGGATTTCAAAGGGTACAACTTGGGGAAAAGATCAAGGACAGTGTATCTATCTGCCAGAGAGGTAAGGGGAACCATACAAGTCTCGGAAAGCGAACTTGGGAGCAGGTAGATGGCATGGGGGTGGGGGTAGGGGGCAACCTGATACCTTGTGCCCATTTACACATGGATGTCTAGCGAAGGACTTTGGAAGAGAGAGATGCCAAGGGTGGCACATTCATTGCTGAGAGGCAGAAATGCAGCAGAGCTGATAATGGAGAGATGCACTGCTGAGCAATTCCACCCAGATGTCTGCATTTCTTGTAGGCACGTATTGTTTAATGGACAGGGAATTGAATACCTTTATTGCTGAGAAATGTAAAAAGAGATCTATCCTTGTACATATTCTTGGGACACGTGTGTTTCTTCTAAAGAAATAACTGGAGCCAACAGATTTTTTTTTTTCCCTAAGGAAAAAAACTCGAGTGAGGGAAATCGGTGGAGTCTTTTTTCCCTTTTCCCGGTATATGTGCGCGCCCGTGTGCCTCTTCCTAATTCAATGAGATTTTTTTAAATGGAAAAAAAAAATCCTGCTTATGGCCCTTGCCATCTCATTTTCTTCTCTTTACCCCAAGAAAAGATCTGAGGTAAATCTAACTTCATCTCTTAGGAAGGCTTTTTAAAAAGAAAACAATGTTTTAGGGACACGCACCAACTTTTTTTTCTCTTTTCCAAATGGAGCTTAAAAAAAAAAAAAATTCAAAGAACAACTTAAAGCAACGAACAACATCGAAGAGGCTATTTTCCCAGGCAATAATTTTTGGATTCGTTTATTTTCTACCCTCAGAAATGAGAAAAGGGAGCATCCGATCTTCCTTGGCGCGGATCCCGCGAAATTCGGAAGGCGCGGTTAGTAAAAATGCAAGAGTGGAGGACAGCTGGTGGGGTCAGTAAGCACACCGGGAACTTCCAGGCGACACCCCTCTGACTAAGAGGAATTCGGAGGCGCGAGGAGCAGCGCCGCCCAGACCCCGTTCATCTAGAAAACAGTCAGCTAGGAGCCCACTGGTCCCCTTCAATCATGATGGAGTTAGGGTGACATTTGGGGACCACTCAGCCTTCCCATAAAGGGAGTCCCTGTTGCCTCCGGACTCCTTCAGGTGAACCGGGCGCAGAACCTTGGCCACTTTTTTTTTGCCCACTTGACCCACCCTTCCAACTTCTGCCCAGTAGCCTTCTTCCCTTCCTTCCTCACCTCACCTCACCCCCAGAAACCTCCAGGGGCCAGGCGGGGCAGCTACAGGTTGTTTCGATCTAGCCTCTTCCAGATCCGAGATACGGAAAACAGCCTTCTCACTTTTCTGATGCTACAGTATTTTCCTGCTCCTCTGGATAGTCTGCTAACGCCCACATCCCGAAAGGAGATTATTTTGAGTTTATTTGTTTGTTTGTTTGTTTTTAGTTGCTTAAATCAATACATCAAATACAAACTCTTCAAACTTAATGGCAAAAATTCACCCTACTTTTTAAAAAATAATTTTCTGACATTTTCCTTACGTCACTCCTCTCCCCAACAAAAGGGGAAACTTTGGGGGAGTCACATTCAGCTAGCGATTCAGGGGAGACCCTCTTGGGGATGGTCTTGAGGACCATCGTCTGGTCGCCACATACTTCATACAGAGGTGTGCGCCGCGCCCCAGTCAAGAAAGCCAAGGTTACCTTGGTTCCAGGACCCTGGTCCGGAGGGCCTTTGGGAGCTAGTGAAATAACTGGAGAGATTTCCTTCCCCCCTCCTCAGTAACTATCCTGAAACCCACCCTTCCCCGAGGGCCCTGTTTCCCTCCCAAGGCCGAGAGGAATGAAAATAATGAGAGTTCTCCCACTTAGTTTTATTGTCCTCTCCCAATTAATAACTGGTTTGAAGAAGTCTGCCATTTTCCTCTCCGGTTGCCCCCACACCATGGCTGAAGTGAGAGACATTTTCCCTCAGGCTCGCTGTGGCTGGGCATTCATTCATTCATTCGTTCGTTCGTTCATTCATTCATTCTTCCATTCTTTCTTCCACTCATTCAACAAATATCCACTCCCTACTATCACTGCCCGAGGCTCTCTAAGCGGCAGAAATCCACCAGCTGCCACTTCTGCCCTGGGGCACCAGGGTCCTGAACCAGAAGGCAGATGATGGAGAAGATGAGGATCATTAAACTGACTCCCAGGCAGGGATGGGAAATGTTCCCCTCCTCAACCACTCTCAGCTCCTGCAGCCCAACTACCTGCCACTCCACAAGTAGCCTGGCCTTCCTGCCTGACCTGAGTTTCCCAAGTGAGGAGAGTGAGTGGGGAGCTAACAAAACCTGGCCCATGGAATAGGCTCAGCTTCTTTGGGTTGCAGGGTGTGCAGGGATGGTGGGCTTGCCTGCTGGGTTTCTCAGTCGATCACTGTTAGGCAATTCTGACTTGAATGTTTGGAGAGCCAAAGTTAGGAGCAGGAGAGACCACTTGTGGTCCTCCTGTCTACAGACATACAGAGCAACAGCAACTCAGATAAGACAGCATTGCAAAGGATGCTGCTGTTTAGTGTTGAGGACTGGAGGGGCTTGAAGAGTGAGCCTCTCCCTCTCCCTCTCTCCCGCTCTTCCTTCCTTCCTCCCTCCCCCTCTTCATCTTCCTTTATTCTCCTTGCCCTTCTCCCCAGTTCTGTTAGAGAAGAGAAGGGAAAGTTCGTAGATCTGTCCAGGAGTCAGGGGAAGGTGCAGCAGCAAAGTATTGCTCATAACGACACTTAAGCCCAGACACTCGAATGCTAAAGGTTATACTTATATTCTTCAAGAAAGGGCTCTCTGCCAACTTGAACTGTGTTGTATGCTCACCATGGGCCTCTCCTCATTCTTGCTCTCTCCTACCCCATCTACAATCTGCATTCCTCCTCCTCCTTTTTGTCTCCCCAAGACTTCTAGTTCTTAGCATTTGTCACAATAAATGAGGGGTGCTCTTGGGTGTTGATTCTTTTTTCCCTCACTGACTGCCACAGAGCTGATGCTGCTTCTGCCTTCCTATCCATTTTTACCTCCTTTTGCCTTTGTGATCAACTGTATGTTTCAACTGGTTATCAGAAAGTCTACTTTTACATCTAAACTCACCTTTTTTCCCCCAGTAAGGATACACTAATCAACATTTATATCAGAGGAAAATCTGGGAGACTCCTGTCCATTTCTGCCCATTTCTGCCCATAGCCTACTGTTACAGACATCTTTGACTATCAGTCAGAGATCAGCCAGTTCAATGACATTTAAAAAAAAAAAAAGCTGCTCAGTGTGTGAATGATATGAAGACAGAGCATCACTATGATATAGAGAGAGGAGGCGAAAGATTTCCATTCATAAAAAAAAATTCTTAGAGTGAAAAGTTCTGATCCCTGCAAGGAATTGATGCTAAGGGTCTCTACTTCCTCTGATGTTTCATCTCCCTAAAAGAGGACAGAAAAATGATAGCCCTTTCAATTTGATGTCCAGCAAAAAAGGCACCATAGAAAAGTATTACAGATGAGTTCCATTGCAGGAAAAAGGAAGTGTGTGTGTGAGTATGTTTGTGTGTGTGTGTGTGTGTGTGTGTGTGTGTGTGTGTGTACAGGGGAGATGGGAGATGGGGGAGAATGAGTCATCTCTTCAGAGTAAGAAGTTAATAGCTTGGAAAAAACCCTGTTGCCAAAAGGTTCCACGGTATAAAAAGAAAAGCAGTGGATTTTGAGTCAGAGGACCTGAGTGTGAATCCTGGCTCTGCTACACATTCCCTATAAACTGAGGCAAGACATTTCCCTTCCCATGGGCCTCAGTATCCTCATAGTAAAATGAGGACTTTGGGCTGGATGGTCTTCATGGTTCCTTCCAATTCTAATTCCTGTGAAGCCCCCCTTTTCCCCTTCCTTCCCCATTAAAAAAGTGCCAAGATAAGGAGGAACAGAAATGAGGCAGAAATGGGTAGAACATAAGGAATAAATGGGGGAGGGGGAGGAGGAGATGGATTGAGAGGGGCAATAGAATATAGGTGAAGACTGAAAGGTTGGAGGAAGGAGGAATTCTCTAGTTTTGATCTGGATTTAGTGATAAGACATTAGCAAAGCAAATAGAGGTCTCTGCCTGATAAAGAAAGGAGGAAAGAAAGAAGGAAAGAAAGAAAAAAAGAAAGAAAGAAGGAAGGAAGGAAAGAAAGAAAGAAAGAAAGAAAGAAAGAAAGAAAGAAAGAAAGAAAGAAAGAAAGAAAGAAAGAAAGAAAGAAA